TAGACTTAGGCGTACTTATAAGTTATACTTATTTAAAATAGTTTTATATACTTTATTCTAACTAAACTTAATATACGTTTTCCTAACTAGCTCCTTTAGGAGAATATAAATTAGTTCTTATAATAGTAACTAGTAGCTTTTATAATCTAGAATAGCTACTAAGAATAATAAGGCTAGAGCTACTAGAAAGTAAAAGCTATTTTACTTAATTACTATAACCTATAAGGTAAACTACTTTAAAGAGATTAGATAAAGAAAAATAAGATTACTATAGCGTTAGAGGTTATAACTTAGGACTTATTACTAGTCTGTAATATTATAGTAGTTCTAATTAGCTAGGAATATTTTACTAATCTAAACGTTACTTTAGTCCTAGTTCCTTAGTTACTTACTACCTATAAAGTAATTAGGACTTCTATATATTTAGTTCTCTTTTTACTATTTATTAATTATCTTAAACACTTTATAAAAATAATTATTAACTAATAGGATAGTATAGTCTATTAGTATAACCCTCTTTAGGAGGTAGGCTAATCTAAAGTAATCTTTATTAATAATATCCTAGCGCTCTAAAGATTTTACTAAGATATAAAGGCCTTACTATATATTAAGAATCTAATTAACGCTAGTGCTTATATTATTAATATAGCCTAATAGCCTAGCTTATAGAAGTATAGTCTTTATGTTTTAAAGTAGTTCTAAATAGTAGTCTAGTATAGTAAATTATACCTAACTAAGAATCTTATCTTCTAAAGTAAGAAAATAAAAGGTATACTAAGTAATTAAATATATATATACTAGATTTAGTAGATTAGCTATAAGTTTTACTATAAAAGTAACTAAGTTAATAATACTATATATAATACTTTAGGAATATATCTTAAGGACGTCTATAGTTAATATAGAAATATTTATATAAAGGTATTAGTAAGTACTAAATTAGACTATATAATTATTAAGAAGCTATATTTAAGGCTAGGCTTTATAGTGTTAATTAAATAAAGTATACTAACTAATCCTTAGATCTTTAGCTTATATTATTATTAATTAGTTACTAGCTAAAGATAGCGCTTACTACTTAGACTATTACTAGGCTTTATACCTTAAAACCTACCTAATTAGTCTGCCTTAGTAATAAATACTATTAAAAGAGGGTCTAATTCTAAGTATACTCCTATAAGTCTTATACCTTTTAGTTAAATATTACTAGTTACCTTATAACTAATTCCTTAAACACTTAATATAACGCTATAATTAGAAAGACTTATATATTTACTTATAAACTTATATTTACCTTTTATCTTATTTAGGCTAGCTTTATTATTAGTTACTAGAACTAGGTCTCTAGCTTAGGTTTTACTTAAGATTAAAGACGTTATAAAGGAGAACCCTCTAACTTAGGCTTAACTGCTTTAGAAACCCCTATTAATTAAGTAACATAAAGACTTATAGCTAAAGGAGATAACTTCTTAAGATCTAAACTTATAGTTAGGATAAGTAAATTATAAGTTAACACTTAGTAAGTTAAAGCTTAATTAGTAAGAAGCTAATAAGTTATTTTAATAAGAGGCTATAAATTACTATTATTAACTACTATACTACTAAAATAAGCTTTCTAAGAAACTAGTAATTAATAAGTATATATAAAAGAAATAAGTTAATTAATATAATAACCTAATTAATAAGTTAGCTTATATAACCCTTATATATATACCCTAGGTATTACTATTATTAAGTTAGGATTAGGAGGGCTAGGATTATAAGGACGTAAGGCTTTAATAGGATTACGTAAAGGAGGTGCGTAAGCAGGAGGTAGAAGCTAGGAAGAAGAATAAGAAGAAAAGCTAATACTAATTTACTATAAAGGTAGTTATATAAGGGCTAATCTTAAAGATAATTTCTTCTTAAGAGGACTTATAAAGAAGAAATTAGGGGATAATTAGAGTAAGGTAGGGTAATTAGCCTAAAGTAAGGTAGTATATAAGCTAATTAGAAGATCTTAATCCTAATTAAGTATAAAGATATAAGTTAGAGTTAATAGGTTTAGAGATAGATATATAGAATTTATTCTTTATGCTTATACTTACCTTTTAATTAAACTAAAGCCTTTTTATAATTTACCTCTAATTATAATAATATAAGATAATTAGGAGTAATTATCTACCTAATTAGAGTATAATTATACTTAATCCTATAGTTTAACACTTATAATTAATATTAATTCTAGATAGATTAAGATAATTTATACACTAATTAGTAAGGAATCTTATATTACTTTTAGTAGTTATAGTGTTCTATATAGTCACTACACTACAAGAGTCCTTTATACCTTATACGCTTTTAATACTATCTTCTTAAGTATTATAGTTATTTATACTTATAGTACTTCTTCTTATTACACCTAGCTAACTAGTGCTTAAGCTTCTTATAGTTATAATAAGTAAGTAGTCCTTAGGTCCTCTCTAGCTAAGGTGTTATACTTTTTTTTTTTTTTAACTTTTAGCTTTAATATAGGTATACCTACTAGTATTATAACTATTAGTATTAAGCGTATACTAGTAGCTTTAGTTAAGGGGGTATTTATAGTTATTAGTTATACTATTACCCCTTAGTAGCCTTTTCTCTCTTAACTTTACCTTAGCTATCTTCTTAATACCTCTCTTATATAGGTCTTAGTAAGTATTTTTATCTTTTTTACTATATTATCTAACTTTTAGTAAGTAGCTAGTAGCCTCTTAGAAAGTATATAAGTCCTTAGGTCTAGAAGCACCTAGTTTAAAATATAGACTACTTACTACCTCTTTATTTAGGGGTTAAGGCACTTCTTCTTAACTATCTTATACTTATTAATAAATTATTAGTATAACTAGCCTAAGGCTTATTATATAGTGTCTAGCTTTATAGTAATACTAAAAGCCTATATATTATTATTAGTAATATCTACTTTTAGCTAGCCTTTTATAACTTCTTAAGGCACTTTACTAATCTTATTTTTATAATAAAAACCTATATACTTTCTTTATTTATATACTAAGTTACTTTTTAGTATAGTATTAGTATATCTTACTTTATTATTATTAGTTATAAACTTATTTTTTACTATATTAAAATATATTTCTAACTAAAATAAAAATTCTTATAGTTTATTTTAGCTTCTTTTTTTATACCTTAAGGTAAGTAATCCTTTTAAAAGCGTATTAGTATAAAGTTACTTAGCCTCTAGTTAGAGATTAGTAGTTATTTTTATTTCCTCTTATATATTTTTTACTAATATACTACTTTAAAAGGCCTTAATTTAATTAATTATTTTCTTTTTTTTTACCTTCTTTACTTCTTCCTCTAAAAAGGCTTTTAGCTCCTCTTCTAATAGCTTACCTAAGTTAATAGTATACTACTTACCTACTAGTATAGACTTAGTTATATTAGGTATTAGTTATCTTATTATAGTGCTCCCTTATTACTAGGCTATAGTTTAAAATCTAGTAAGTACTATTACTACTTTAGTAGTTAATATACTTAAAAATAAAGAGATATTAAAATATATTAAAGGTAAAGATAGTATTAGGTAAAAGAGTTAGTAATAAGTATAGTTAGGGTTTAATTATAATAATTATTTTAATATACCTCCTTTAACCCCTATCTTCTATAGAGTTTTCCCTTTTTGTTATTCCTTTAGTAACTAGTTTATCTAGTCCTGGTCCCACTCCAGTGCCCCCCTGGGGCCCCGCTCCAGGCACCTGACATTCTGGACATACGGCCCTTGCTGGAACAATAATTTGACTTTATTATAGGCAAATTATGCTTGTAGTTACGAGATCTCGACTGGAGAGAGGAGACATGCTGCAAATAGAATTGACCTTGGTATGTCAAAAGCTAATTCGCTCTTTAAACACCACTGACTTCTTGTAAATAATCTTCTGGGGAATGATGACAGTGTTCTCATCTATGGCCATCAAAGAACCCATAATAAGATAGTAGGCGAGGAGAAAATCACTTGGTCAGGACCGGATCTTTTCTTGAAATCATCCTAGATATAGGCCAAGGTAAATTAAGCGACGAAAGTTGGGACGGAGGAAGCGAGGAGCAAAAGCGCAGCTATCCTACAACTAGAGTGTGCACTGGTCTGTCTATAGAACCACTGCTGCTAAGCCGGCCTGCCCTTATATACATTCGATGATATGTACCCAGGCTGCTCTTCCCCCGCTGCCTTCGCCGCAGCCCCGCCTATGACCAGCTCATTATCTCCCTTGCCCTCAAGGATGCTAGTCTTAGACATGTTGTATCTGTTGGTTGGTTTACACAAGGCGAGAAACAGAAGATGATACAGCGGGGCTCCACACCTTACATCAAAATAAAGCTCGAGACATAGAAAGACGCACATGAGGAAGCCAGCCATGGTGTGCCTAAATCAAACTGCAATCAGAGGCAATCAATTGCCAAATCGATCGCTGACAAAGCAAATCGATTCGCTTACATAACGAAGGGCACCCCACAGCAAAGCACGGACGCAGCCATTCTAGGTAGAGGTTTGTCCCGTTCTACATAATTTTCCTGTAGTGTAAACGAGTTGTCCTAGGAACGTCTTTTTGCAAGCTATCAGCTTCTCCACCTATAGGTTTGAGCAGAGTCTCGTTTGGGACGAAATATTCGTCCGTCGTACCTGTATTACACAGGCGATAATACGCAAGGTTCCGCTGTGGCTGTACTCAAACCACGACTGATGCCCCGCCAACGAGAACCTAATCTTTACGAGAGTTGCCCTTGTGGTAGGAAGAGGACTCAAAATCGTTCGAACGATGCGGAGCACCTGAAAAGATCCCACGGAAGATGTGTTACCTGCGGTATAGTCGTGCTCATCAGGTCACATCAGCGATCGGAGCCCTCTCATTTAGTCGAGTCAGGCCAGTTGATCTCTTCATCTAGTGGAACGGATTCTTCATCCTAGACCATCACATTTGTGCCCATGATCCCCCAAGTTCGGCATCACCCAACTCCTCTAGCGACCGTACGAGATCGCTAGACATTCCGAACAACGCCAGTCGGCGGTATTTCACGGTCTGGTGCGTCGTCAAAGATGACGATGATAAGGATCAAGACACACACGGTATTCTCACTGCCGCTCCTTCGCCATACAGCCCAGATCAGTCCCCGTTCTGCAACGTCACAATCGACCATGTGTTCGCCAGTACTCCGTGGCTCACCAACACGGAGTCCTTGGTTTGGCTGAAGAAGACCTTCGGCGGGCTTTTTGCGCCCCATGAGACGGAAGGCACCGCAGACATCCATCAATCGCTGCTGACGGGCCTCTTCGCCTATTCAGCCAGACCTACAAACAAATCCATACTCTTAACCTGGAAGGCAGTCAGAGACTTGCTCTATGTAAACTCGCTTCACACCTGCCCTGAGATCAACCTCAACCTGCAGTCGGACAACCTCATCATTGTACTTTTAGACACCAGCTTCAGTTTGAAGAGGGCAGTCCACAGCCGCTACAATGACCTCAAGAGCTATATAGTTATTCCTGACGCCACCCGCAGCACCCTTATTTACCTAAGTAAGGATGAGGCCTATGCTGATAGCAACAAGTTAGACGATATCCGCGCTCTCAATCGTGTCGCCAAGCTCTAGGGTACGTGGCGGCCCACAACATGCTTTAGCACCAGGCCATGCGCGCTTAAGGGCGTCAATAAGGACTTTAAGAAACGCTCTTAGAGCAGCTACGTGGTCCACATAACTACAAATAGTAGCAGATACCTTACGTGTATCCCTATAAAGCTATTACAGAAGAAGTAACGCGTCTATAACCTAAAAGGCTATTAGTTTTATTAGGAGTACGTTAGGATGCTTACTAATATAGAGTTCTATACTTATATTATTATAAAGCTAGACCCTAGTAGCACATATAGCTTATATAGGCAGGTTATTTACGTCTGTTATACTAAGCGTAATACTAACAGTAAGTAGAAAGCTACAGAGGTAACTAGCAGCAGATATTAAGATTATAGTCTTACTAAGGACATAGTTATGTCTTTTGCCCTCTTAGTATATAAGGCTTTACGTACTAAGGAGCAATAAGTAACGCAGTTTTGCTCGCTTAACGTCAGGTGCTAGCTAGATATCTCTACTAAAGAACCTAGAGGCCTGCTTTTTATTAATAAGGTTACGTAGTAGTACTACGCTAACTATTTCTCTAATTCTTGTACAGGGGAACTGCATACCCTTCTTTGTAACGCCTACGCTAATGCCTAGGTTCAATATCTAGGTCATGTTACGTCAGATAGGGCTTTTGCTAGGCATAGTTGAGGATTAGGTTGCGAAGTTGTGAATTAGGTGGGCCAAGAACGCCAATGGGACTCGCTAGGGGAGAAGTCACTTGTGATTAGCTGTTTTAAGGTCACGTAAAGACAGAGTCGGGCAAACCTGACATTTTGATTGAGTCTCAATTCTCAATGGCCGGGCCTAGATCTTGGGTCGGCCAAGGACCTGCGTGCCTAGCAAGCTCGAGAGATCCCGCCAGCCTATTCTTTGGCCACCCGACAATAGACAAGAAGGGGGTTGATATCTATCCAGAATCTCCTCCATAATTCTCGCTAGACCTCGTACCTTGCACAATGCCAGCGAGCCAGCCAGCCGGCCAGCTGGCTGGCTTTGCCACGAACCGTGCCGTTTCTCCTCTAACGCTATCATGTTAGGGGAGTACCCGAGTCAAACTCGCGAGTTGTTATAGGATTGTGCGTACCATATTTTGCATTGAATCGATTTCCAATTCTTGGAAGGAAAGGGCACGTATCGGGCAATGCGTAAGTCGTAATTTGGAGAGCAAGGCCGGTGAAAACATACAGGCTGCTTCTTAAACCATAATAGCCGTGCAAGGACACGGGAAGGGAAACAAAAGCATGGGAGACTACAGCAAAGCAAATGTGTGGAGTTTAATCAGAAGGTTCAAGGATGCTATCCTCGCTATATATCCCATCATGATACTGAACCACTTGGATGTCATGGCCACGCAATTTTTGGACAGTATGGTACCGAGTGTTCCAAGGCTTACGGTCTTAACCGTGATGACTCTGGGAAAGGTTTGCCAGCATCGGGAAACATTGCGAAATGCCCGCGACAGCATACCCGGTCTGGAGTATGTCGCTGATCCATCTCGTATCATGGGCGAACATCCTTGAGGGCAAACCGTGGAGCATGCCCAGCTGTTTATTCTAACTGCGCTCTACTATGACCAGCTCGGCAGAGTGGTCGAAAGTAGATTCTGACTGATGGATGCTGACTGTGCCCTTCAGAACGTCATGCACTGGTAGGTGACACGAACCTTGGAAAGTCCATGCTTGCTAATACGTCATCTGAAGTGATCTGGACAAGTTCATGAAAGGCCGAGGTAACCCACCCACCCTACTTACGGATACCCCCACATCCGGATAACTAACATCACCTGCCATCACCCATATTATCACCACCTATTTTATCAGGTTTACCTCCCACCCATATGTAACTTTCGGTGTCACTGGATAATTCCAATGCGCTGGATCAATCCAGACTATCTATACTGTCGTCTGGCGACTGTCGCGCCTGCTGGATATGGGCGACTGCTGCGAATCGACTGTTAGGTGATAAAGGCACCTTTTTCCTCTTGCGTTGCCGCTGGTTATCCAGATGTGCCTGTATATGCTGGAATTGCTGCTTTAGAAGGACTAGTCTGGATGCCTGGTTATCCCAGCTCTTTTGCATCTTTCTAGATGGGCGACGAAGAGTATGGGTATCTAACCCATCCTTGCCCAGCTGAACCAACTGATGTAACTGATGCCGTAGATCAGCAGACCGATGAGGGGTTGACCATGGGACGATAGATGCGGCCTCATCCAACTGCTGACTGCGTGGTTGGCTGCTTTGCTGGTCCTCTTGGTGGGTGGATGATGCTTTGGATACTAAGAAGTTGGATAGAGGGCGCCTTGAAGAGACTGGCCATAACCCAGCTGACTTCCAGCCACTTGTGGTGTTCTTCGTCGTGATAGATGCTTCCCTTGCAGCAAAATAACAGGCGACGAATACCCCATAGTTTCTACCAAGCTGTCATCTGAATGCTGTCATTTGTTAGGGTTGGGGTGCATATCATCCTTTGTGAAATGCGTTCTGTGCTTGACTATATGGGTATTGCGGGACAGAGTTAGAAACCTGCCCCTAGAGCCATTCAATCTGGCAATCGCAGGAGAAAAACGTATAAATCCCTGCTGAGTCTCTTCTCCAAAGCTAACCCACAGAAATTCATACACACTCACAGTTAACCCAGTCAATCCTCAAAGGCTCTCTCCTTCGTTGGTAAAATCACTTTTCGGGACTTTAACCACGTGACTACGGTATAAATATCTGTAAGTTTGAGGCCGTGGGCAAAGGAGTGCCGGTGGCACTAGGGTTTCTTTATAGCTAACAGTGGTTACAACAGAGACGAGAGAGCGAGAAGCAGTTCTAATGTGGCCATATCGGCTTCCACGATATCAAGTGGTGCTCTTCCATGGACAAAGGGTGCAAAGGACCGAAACCCAAGCACGATATAATTCTATGGCGCGGGACATGCATTGACTACACGAATCGAGTGGCCGATCCAAATCCTCGATCTTCTAGACGGACTTAATGGGGGGCGTCTTACGCCAGAGCCAATCCAATGATTTAGGAAAGAGGAGAAACTACTCGTCGAGAGAGCTAGGACCTGTCAATTCCAATCAAACACCTAGCGCACCATTGTTATATTTGTCTTGAATACCAATGTTCGATCACCAGAGGATTTACATTGTGAACTGAAGGGCTTGATTGGACTGTCGAGATTTGGGCCTGGCGGCTGTTACCCTAATCTGACTCACCCAATTGGTGCTGCCCGACGGTTACGGCTCATTGGCGGCCATTTGGATGAAAGACTGCGCCGGCGATATGTTGCTTTCTCTTCCTGTGATTGACCGAATCTGATGCGAGGCTCTGCACAACGCCAACTGTCGGGGTCTGAGAAGAATATGTCGCCGTAGTTGTAGAACAGTTATTCGCTAGCCCTGATATTTCGCCGGGCCCTAAAAGAGATTCGAAAGGTCCCGCTGACGTAGAGAACCATCGGCGTGATATCAGGGTCCTCCGAAGAATGGTTGATGTAACAGCTGTAGTTTCCGTATCTAGCAGCATCAAGCCATATCCCCTCCTTTTCCAACAGACTGAACTTGTAGCAACTCCAGTTGTTTACCAAAGCGTGCCTCGCTTCTCGCCGTGTCCCTTCATCCGATGTGATTATCTCGCCGGTATATTCGATGACAACGTCGCCTTTAGAACGCTAACACTTGAGGGAGTCCCAAAGGGTGCCTCAGAGGGTGCGGATCTGTCGTCGGTATCAGAGTCCATAGCTGCTCAAGGTTTATAAAATCCTCCCTGCAACTAAAGTATGGATAATGAACATACGTAATGAAAGGTGAGCTGAAAGTGAGGGCTGAAAATCTGCTAAAAGCGAACGGCGGCTGTATCCTTGCCTAGTTCTGACAGGCTCGTCAGGAAGTCGCGGAGGTTATAGGTTGTTGGATGTTTGTTGCAAGCTAGAGTTATGCACGCGTGGAACGGGTACGGTCATATACACTTCGAGGTATTGCATCCATGCAACTTCGTTTGCCAACTTCTCTGTGGCGAGAGCTAGAGGTGTATATCCTGGCTTAGGAAATCGAAGCGCTGCGTCGTTTACAGCGGGGAACCGAAACCGGAATATTATATTATAGGACCCTTGAGCTCTTTCGACTAACTTTGCTGGACCGCGGTTTAACTTTTCGGTCACAAAGACTTACAGCTCGCTAATCACGCTGTCATTAATGGCTGATGACTGCCAAGTTTGTAGTGCTTGCTGCCTTCATTATAAAGCAAACTGTCGTACGTAACAGTCAGTGAGGATGTCAAAATTTGTTCCATATTGAAACTCAAGTTATAGAAGTGATGGTGGGTAGAAAAACACCTCGAGGGATAGAAAGATAGAGGAAGAAGATGGGGCAAAGATGAGATGGGGAGGGAGAGTGAAGGAGATTACCCCGCTCGCCTAAGAAATAGCTTTCCAACTTGCCGTCCTACTAGGTCGCGATAAGATCCTCTCTTTCTTCTTGGACTCCCGGTCTCACGACAAGGGATTGATAGACGGCAGCATCTGGTCACTGCTGCCGCGTCTCGTGAAGCATCCCACGAAAGATCCCATGTTACAAGAGCTCGGAGGATCAAATCCTATCTCCCTTGCATCTGCCACTAGTCTTCAACGAGTCCTTTCGCGGCTGGACCCATTTGGAGAGGGCAAAGTGACTGTGGTGAAGCCGCACAGGCGAACGCCGGTCTACTTCGCACCCTGGTTTCTGATTACCTCTTCGAACTTGGAATCGACAGCTGTGTGGACATGTCTACATATAGGGGGGGGTTTGTTATTAAAGCAAAGGCTTTTAGGCGTAGATGTAAGCTATGGTAATTGTGGGACACTAGCGTCAAGGAAATCCCCATCTAGTATCTCTTGTACGCTATTATGTTTAGTTGTGTGTTTTAGTTACGTATTACAATTCGTCCCGCTGCTTTGTAAAATCTCTAACACTGTCATAACACTAGCATCTCAGCGTTTCAAGCTCTATCCTCGCCAATGGTTTAGATGCGATTCTCTAGCATGGTGGGCAATAGAAGCTAAAATGTCCGCCCCTTCTAGCTTCTGTAGGAACACAGCGTCTTCCTCTTCCTTATACAGATCCTCGTTATGCATAGGAAGCACAACACAACAGACGACCCAGCCGTTACACATGGCCGGAATGTTTTTAAAGCTAAACTCATAAAGAGGGAGAGCCTTGTTAGGCGTGGCTGTTATCACACGCCATTTAGCTGACCAGTTAGTCAGTGGCTTTTGCGGTTTCACCTGTTTAAATAATAATAGTATAACAGCAGCGTAATCTGTTAGGGTTATAGTAACTACACTATCCGTATACGCAACTAGTATAATTATAAGTTTAGGGTTATTAGAAAGGCGTTTAAGAAAACTTATAGGCCTTGATCTATCAAGACAGAGAAAGAATTCTACAAAAGGTATTTAGCGGATGTTGATCTATTCTTTGTCTTCATCAGAGTAGCAGGAGCTTGCAGTGGCTGGCTGGCTGTTCGTCATCAAAATTCCATACTCATGAAGGCAAAGCAGTGCGGGCACTAATTCGAATGACTCTTGCTCGAGGGGGGCAAGGTAATAAGGTGTTTAAATGTCTGAGATACCGTCTGCGCTTTGTCTGATAAACTCAGTGTTTAAGCCGATTACATCATTCCAGTCTTTAGCCTTCGCCCATTCATTTACTCGGGCGGATCCTTCAGACTGTTGTATGTCCATCGGTCTCAAGACTAGATGCGATATGCTAAGCTGGTGGCGGAACAGAATTAGGAGATCTGTTACAACTGGTTTAATCTAATAACAAAAGAATCGTTGCTTATTTGGGATATCAAACCCTGAGGACAATGAGGATGGTTTGATGTGAAGGTCTAAGAAACTACTTAAGTGAGCTTCTTAAGGGTATGACGAGGCTCTTATATGCGGTTTCGGGCGCGAAGTGCCCCTCAAAACCGGAACGAGGGGATTTGAGCAGGTCAATTGTGGCTTTTGGTGTACCGCTGATCAGCCATCCTTGCTCTAGTTAGCCCGGTGAACTGCGTAGACCCCCCAGACGAGCAGGAGTCCCTCTCTCGGACAGCTTGAGCAGCACGACTACTTGATCCAGCCAGCTTTGGAGACAGTGTAAGCGTGGCTTGAGTTTGCGTTAAGGCCCAGCTCATGATGGGTGAAAAGGGACCCACTCGTCCGGGGCCTTCGCTATGTGAGTTTCCAGACCCTGGTTCAGGGGGACAGGTGAATGGCGAGGCATTGTGAGGTCTGGTCGACGGACCGAGCAGCGGGTGAAGAGCCACTAGTGTACAGTCATGAGCATACATATGTAGCTTCCTCTGCTGCACACACTCTTCGTGTTTTAAAGGCAAAAAAAGGCCGTAATGTGCTTTCCAAATCTCTGAAAATAGCGTGGCTGCCTAATCATGGAGCCAGACAGTGCGAGTACAGTCCGTTGCGTTGGCAGCGTCCAAAACCTACTTTTCAGTCCGTGCGCTGAAAACACAAAGTGAATTTTGGCTTCATGCCAGCCCGGCCGGGCCCATCGCGATGGGCAACAGTGATGCCAGCCCATCGTGATGGATAACAGTGATGCCAGCCTATTGTGATGGATAACGGCGATGCCAGCCCATCCGGGCCCATCGCGATGGATAACGGCGATGCCAGCCCGGCCGCGATGGGCAACAGTGATGCCAGCCCATCGTGATGGATAACACGTGATGCCGAGCCTATTGTGATGGGCAACAGTGATGCAAAACCATCCTGGCCCAGCGCGATGGGGAAAAGTGATGCCAGCCCGGGCGCGATGTCAAACGATGGTGCCAGAGAGCCGGTTCATTTCGGTTGGAAAGAGTGAGCCGGTCGGAGCAGAGGGGACAAGAGAAATCTAGT